ATAGGAGTTCTTGATTTAATTTACCCTTTTATTTATTTATTTTTATTTGTTCTTTTATTTTAAAAATAAAAGGAGGAAAACATTAAGAGACAGACAACCATTTACAAAATAGCAAAAGAACAACAAATAATACGGAGTTACAGACAAAGTGGTAGGAAATTAACAGTGGTTGTTGTATTACATATTGATATCTTCAAAGCGGTTTCTCATAAAAACAGAGACATGCAATAAATTTGTTCTTTCAAAATTAGTTTGGTAAGGGCTTGGGGAAGAGGGATTGGGAGAAGTTAGATAGGGGAACTATATCTCATGCTGTATAGCACAGTAGGGTGACAGTACTCTACTGCAATTTATTACTTATTTTATAATAATTACAGAAGAGTTTGGAGGCTCTCAGCACATAGAGAATAGTTGAAGAATTAAAAATGTGAATTTTTCTGATTTAATCATTACATATTGCACACATATGCAAGATATTGTAATGTACTCCAGAACTAATAGCAAATATATGTAACTAAAAATTAAATGAAATTAGAATAACAACAATAGAGTGACATAAGTGATATATATGAAAATGACATGAGACAATAAAAGTTAAAAAAAGACAGTATTTTAATAAATCATAGACACATGGAAGAAACGTGAAACCACATTATGACACTTTGCATTCTTAAAACCTTAAGGTCAGAGAATTAATTGATCAACCCTAGGATCTATTATAGTTACTTGCCACTTTAAAAATCATATCATGTATCTTGGCTTTAAAATATGGAAAACCAGCTTTGACGTGAAAAATAAAATAGTGCATCATGGTGCACTAGATGTTCTCTTCAGGAAGCAGTGCATCTATGCTCCTTGACCAATAGATGCGAGCATCGTTTTTGCTCATCTATGAGGTTTTATCTTTTATGAAGCTTCTGTAGATTATCCTCAAATCCTGCAAATAAGTACAGTAATGTGATTCTTTTAAAGTAAGGAAGTAGAGAAAAAACTGGTGATATAACTCCAAGAATTATATGGATATGAGGGTTTGGGACAATAATTTTGTGAATGCTTGGAAAGACCAGAAAAGAAATGCATAATAGACTTCAATAAAACAATAGTTTTAAAAGGGTGCAGTCAAGGGTTTTAAGGTTGTAACAGTGACAAATATGAGACTGAAAATATTGTCTTTGAAGTATACACACAGACACATATATGTAATTGGCAGTAAGCTAGAAAGTGATAATGGTGGGTAACTATCTACACTGAAAGGTTACATTTTTGAACTTTCATTTCACCTGTTTGTAAGATTTGTTTGATGCATGTAACTTCTCACAGATTTTTTAAAATGAATGCAACAATTAATAAAAGAGTAACAATGATGGTATATTTTATGTATAGGCACTGTTAGATGTTTATATACTTTTTTAGTCTTTAGTTCAATAAATTATTATATTTATCTATTTATAGATGGACAAGTTATATTTACAGAGATGAATTTAAAAAACAAACTGGGTGGGTGGGATTCAAGTAGTGAGTTGCTATGAACCCTCTGCTCTCTCTAGTCATAACCAAACATAATGTAAGAAAATCAAAAGCCTAATCAGGACTTCTCCTGAACTCACTTCACTGTTTTGTTAACAGGTATTATTTCTTCAAGAGGAAAAAGAAAACCTCTTGGAAATTAAGGAGAAGACAGGATAATTTCAGATGGTTACTCCTCCCACCTCAATCTCAACGGCACTGCTCTCTTGAGTAATTTATTCTTTAGGGGAATTAACAGCGAAGTTACAAGATACAAGGTTGAAACTACTAGATAGTATTTATTTAGGTGTCCATCGTCCTTGGAATCTAGTTTCTAACCATCAGTGAAACATCCCCATAAGAAAATCACTTTAAGAAAGATCTCTATATCAGCACAACATGGTGCCATTTAAATATTATGATCAACACTTTCTACCACTAAACCACTCTTGCCACCTGGCCACGACCAATTCATTAACACATCAGTACAATTCTAAAAAATTAAATCAACTTAATAACCAACCTTTGGCCAAAGTACAATCCTACAGCAAGAACTTTGCAGCACCTTCATTAAACTATAACCAGACAGTCCAGAGCTGCTCAGTATTGCCTTCTCCCAAGTCTCAACTAAAAATTTCACAGGGCTTCAACAATAAGGCTACAAAATTACAGTTATCCCCTTCCAAATGCCTGGTCACTTTTTCACCAGACCACTGGAAAAACTCCTTGCACCCTACTGGGAAAGCCTTGAGCTCACCTTTATCATACCCTAAACCTCAGACAACATCTTTATCTGATCTGAACAAGACATCACCATCACTGGAACCAAGTCAAACATGCTGGAGCTCACAGTTACCCCTCCCCAAACCTCAGACTACATCTTCAAGCCCAGACCTTCACTGGACATCACCTTTACTAAAGTCTAACCAAAAAGTTTTACATTCATCATTATCTCATCTCCAACATCAAGAAACACCTCTGCTCAATGCCATGTGGACCTCCTCTTTGAGACCCCAGCAGAAAGCAAGTAGATCAACATTACTTCAATCCAATCCTCAGAAAACCTCTTCACTGGATGGTTTTTGGACATCTTTATTGGTACACAACCAAAGGTCTTTGAGCTCCCCATCACTCAGTTCGAAAGCTCAAACAAACAACTTTCTTCAGACATCACATTCTTTGGAGTTCAATCAAATGGCTCTAATTTCACCACTAGAAGATTCCAGACCTCACAAAAAGCCTATATTGACCTCTAATTCCAGTGTTTTGAGTTTACCGTTATCCCATGTGAAATTAAGGAAATCACCTTTATTGCACTCCGCCCAACAGTCTCAGAGTTTATCAGTGTTCCAGCCCAAATCTCAGGCAGTGCTTACACTTGATCATAGCTTCCAGACCCTCAGCTCACCCATCTGTCACTCCAAGTTTCCAAATGCCACTTCACCAAATGACAAAGACAGAACCACAGAAATGCCACTATCTCATCTCAAACCCAATGCTGCAGGCCAGGCCTCATCAAGCACCAAACACTGCCTCAGGAGGACAACTACTTCTCCCTGGGGCTCTGGACTCCAGAGTAAGAGCAGCCTTGATTTTCGTGAAAGGGTAAAATCAGATAGAGAAATTCCATGGACTTTACATTATGGTCATCCCTGCATTGTGAAGGGTGGAACTATCCCTGACCGTGTTGTAAACAAAATCATCACTTCTCTCTCCAAGACCAGAATCCAAAGGGATCTCTCCAGACAGATTCTCTTTCGAAGAATGAGGGGAAGGCCAAATCCTCGTCCTGGTCCCCGCCTGTCATCAGTTTATACAGTTTGTTTATCTTGTGCTTCCTGCATAAAATCTCCGTGTAACCATCTCACAGGAAAGAAAGATCCTCGCTGTGGGATGCTATTTGTCATTCCAACACCTGAGGCCAATTCCAAGGGGGAAATAGAGGTGAAATTACTGTTCATCCTTAGGTTACCAGAGACTTCTTTCTCACCTTTCCTCCCACCCCTCTCTATGAAAGGAAGCCAGCTTGAAGACACTCCCAGTGACAGCCTGGAAGAAATAGAGAAGCTATCACAGTTTTTCTCTGCCTCTGAATCTGATGTCCTCCGGGGGCTCAGGGTGAAGGAAGGATGGTCGGCAGCATCCAGTGAGAACCAAGCTGCAAGTCCAAAGGTCCAAGCTGTAGACTGGCTGCTTTACGTTAAAAATAATGGCAGTTCTGATTCGCAATCCCCATCCCCATCTCCTCCTTCTTCTTCCTCTTCCTCTTCCTCTTCCATTTCCTCTGCCACCCCTTCTCCAACTTCTTCCTCGTCTTCCTCCTCCCTCTTACCCTCTGAACCCCTTCCTTCCCAAGACTGTAGCCCATGTCCCCTCTCAAACTGTGTAGTCACAAAGCTACTTAGTTACCACAGATTGCCTCCGGGGGTCTCCTGGCTTGAGTTCATATGTAGTAAGGATTACCAGCCACTTCCGGGAAAGCCAGATAAGGAGCAGTCACCACAGCCCACAACAACGCCTCTGAGGAATGCCACCGCAACAAAGGAGACAAAGGGACCAAGCATGCTGCACAAGTTTTTTTCCAAGCACAGTTTCAAAAATGAGAAACCCTGATTAAATCATCTTCCAGTGTCTTTGAAAGCAGACCTCCTAGTTCTTTGAGACTAGTGTTTGATTTCCTATCATGTTTTATAATATCCTTAGTAAAATCTGTACCTCTGTATTTTGGCTGATGAAACACCTACTTAAGGAGAGCTATTACTCTTACTTTGGTTCACTAGTTATGTAATAGATTGGTCTTCTAGAAGTTAAAATATGACTCTTACGTTTTTAACTGAATCCCTCCCTTAAAGAACCCATTATATACTTATTGTCATATGAATTTGTGTCATTAGGCAAATGCCTCCTTCATCTGTCCCTGCACAGTAGTTAGCTCATTGTTATTCTCCCTCCCCATAAGATATGATAATCACAGTATTCTGAACCAGTTTGGGTAATCTTTTTTCTTGTTGCAAAAGAAAATTCAGCTCATACACAATAGGTAAGAAAATATATAGAAAAAATATTTCCCATTATATATCCTTAGAAAAATTATTCTATGTCAATATTACACACTCTGAGATCTATAATTTATTCGGCCTTAGTTGAAAAATCTGAAGAAAGACTACCTACTATAAATAATCCTACTTCATGCTCACTGAACCGATCTTCCAATTATGGGCTCTTCAGTCACCTGATCTTCACTTCTATCTCTGCAATCAAGGGGGTTAATGACAAAGGTGCTGAGGAAATACCTTTTGCTCCACTAGCTGTGCTAGTGGCAGGAAGAGATGGTAGTTTCCTTACTTATTCATCTGAAGTGATCATATCCATTACTAAGATCTAAAATCAGCATTTGTCTTAAGTTACTTTTCTCTTTGCTAGGACAAAATACCCAAAAGCCACAAGTGAAAGGAGGGAAGGTTTACTTCACCTCACAGATTGCAGAGGTTCCAGTCCATGCTCAGCTGGGTCCAAGGGAGGGTGGATATGGCACAGAAGCATGGCAGAGGAGAAACAGTCCTCCGCAAGGTAGGCAGGAAGCAGCGAAGCAGCAAGCAGAAACCAGTGAACCCTTCTTTCTGTCCTTTTGTATTCCATCCATGCTATAAGCCAATAGGTGATGGCACTCACACCCAAGGTGGGGGCTCCATTATCCACAGCCAGAATTATGCTAAAACAATTGGCTATCACATACTTAATCCAGCATCACACACCCATGATCCATCCCCCTCACGAAAGCCCTGCCTAGGAGAGCATGAGGCTTTGTGGGGACACCTGGATGTCAACCATAACAGCACTTTTCCATTCATGACTCAGTGCGGCTTTGCTACGTCAAATCTTTTCTGACCACCAGCATGCAAACTGAGCATTTCTAATTGGAACTTGATATTGGTGTCTCACACTCAACCTGAGAAAGCCGTCATCCTTCTTGTTCAGATTTAAATCTTATCTGCAAAGTCCTTGGCCCCCTGCCTTTCACATTACAAGCATATGTCACTGTCTGCTGTGATGTCTTGTGTGGCTTTTTAAAATTTTATTTCCTCTTCATGTCCATGAGTTCTATGTGTTTATTATTGCTAGAATCCAAGCACTTTTCTCCTCCACTGCCACTGTCTTGGTGTTCACAGCCACTTGTACCAGTCAGTGTTCACTGGAGGAACATATTTAACACAACATATATATACATATATGATATATAAATGTGTTAATATGATATATCATATTTTAATGAGATATATATGTGTATCAACATAAGATACAATGATATATAAATATATATTTATATATGATACATACAAAAGTTTATAAGGTAGGTTTACATTGGCTTTCTACTGAACTAAGATGAAAAAAAGCAAAAGGTCTATTGGGTGCTGGATATCCAGAGGATCCAGTCAAAAGTCAGAGGCCTGCAGCTCACTGCAGAGTCCAGTGTGAGTCTGTACCAGGAAGCCCAAGGGTCTACCAGAAAGCCTGAGGAGTCTGCACTGGAAGCTTGGAGACAGACATTCAAAGGCGCTGATGGAGACTGGAGCTTCTTCAAAGAAACAGGAGCAATACTTCTTTTTTCTTCCCATCTAGGCTATGACTCTATTGGTTCGTGACACACCCGGGGGAGGACTTTCCTTTTCAGGAAGTCCCTTATTCAGTCATACCCAGAGCAATGCTAAGCCACTCAGTGGAGCATTTCCTAATCAAATTACCATGCTAGCCAACTGTCACACTGTTTTTCATCTGGATTAGGGCAACAATGTGCACACATGCACCTTTATCTTGAATAATGTGTCTCTGAGACATAATGTTGCTTTTATGCCACTCAATTATTGCCCATGATTTTCTGAACAATCTAAATTTCTTTCACAGCTGAAGCATGGTAACTGTTGGGAACTGTTTTCTCACTCTCCTCTGGGTTTATATGGAGACTTCAGCCACTCTTACTGCTTTACAACATACAGACTATGCAGAAGGATCTTTCCATCTATGCATTTTTGTCCTAAAAAGCTCTGCTCCATATTGTCATCTTCTGGAAAATTTTTTTTTTGCTCTAATTACAAAGGATGATTTGGCCTTCCTTGCACCATAACACTGTGTTAACTCATTGTATAGCTCCCAGCCATGTTCTATTGGAATCATTTCTCATCTGTTTTGACCCACTAAACTCTTGTTAAGCATTTTATCCCTGCTTTCCTTTGTAACTTTATCTGTGGAATAAGATAAGTTGATTGATATTGAGTTAATTTCATTGAAAACTACTCAGAAATAAAAAAAATATCTCATTGGTCTCCATGTTTCCCACAGAATTAATGCTAAATCATTATTTGTGTCTTTTATCTTGGTGAGAACTGGTGTAACAAATATTACTGTTGTCAGCAGTCACCCCTGCATTATTTCTTAGGCTGAAAGTGCTTCTAGTATTGAGTACATTGGTTGATGTGCAGCTGGTTAGTGATGATGAAAATGAACCACTATCTGCAATAATGTGTTCACCGGCTTTCTGCAATCTAGTTAGAAAATGCTTGCTATGTATTTTGTTCATCTTAAACTTCTTTTCTGGCAGTGCCATCCCCCCCCTTTTTTTTTTTTTTTTTTTTTTTTTTTTTTTTCTCCGGAGATTTTTTTTTTTTTTTTAGCTTTTTGAAACAAGTTCTCACTATTCAGTTCAGGCTGGCCTTGAACTCACTTTGTAGCCCATGTTGGCCTCAAACTCACAACAATCCTGCTGTCTCAGCCTCCTGAGTGCTGGGATTAGAGGCGTGCACCACCACGCCCGGCTCAAAGCCATCACTTTTCTAATGAGTTGTTTCCTATTTTCCCTGCTAAACTCCATCTCATGAGCTGAAGTCCTAGGTCTATCTTTGTCTACTCATTCTTAGAAACTAGTAATAACTGGAACATACAAGCATTCAATAAGAATTCATCTGTTTTTTATTTATTAATACAATTTACATATTGATTCTCATTTTAGCTTGTTCTCTATTCTTTATGTTTCTTTGTAGTGTCTTCCTTTTATTTTAAAGTATGGCTTATTTCTTTTAACTTCACTGTATTGGAAGTTGTTAGTCTTCTCATCCCAACAGTGTCTACTTTCAAGATTTTTCTCTTTGGCTTTAGGAAGAGTCATTCTGGAGGGAAAAGCACCAGGACAATAGCTACACTGGGGTCCGTCTCCATTTCCTTCTGAGCAGGTTCGCTGACCTTGTTATGCTACCTGGGCTTGGAGAAGTGCTGGAATAGGCAGTTTTGTGGACGCTAACCTGCCGCTCCCTGAGCCCACAGCCTGCAGAGACTAACACGGCACTGGAGTAGGGCCAAGGTCCACATAACTAGGGATGCCTGCTGCTGGTTGAAGTGGATTTGTGGCTGATACATGGGAAGCACATGGCTCTGCCTTGAATTCAGGATGTTTCAGAGGCAATGCTTCAGATACCAAATTGTGGCTGCAGCCATTAGGATTTCCATGGTGTTAGGTAAACCAGGCTGGCACTGAGTTTCAAGACAAAGTTCTGTGTGCTTATTATCTTGTCCTACTTTCAGAGAATGGAATTTTGTTCCATGCTGTACTGTCTCAGGTTGGCATGGAATGGTGAAAGCAGTCCTTTGACTGTGAGCACTAATGCTACAATGTGTCATACCTGAGTGTGATGGCCACAAGTACCAGAACATCCCAGACCCGCACCAGAACTGGAGGTGGTACAGTCCAGATAAGCCCTTTCACTGGGGTGTAGGTCTCTGTCTGATGCCAGGGTGCTCCGAGGATAGCTGTAGTGCGTGAGGATGAGGGAGGGATGGTAATGTAATTCTTTGATTCCCAAACCTCATGCTAAGCTGGGTAGAAACTGAACCATTCCCACCCCAGAGAGCTACACAGTCTCACAGTAAAGGTTGTAATCCATGACATATACAAGACTGATAAGACTGATAAGGATACAGCCAAAGCACAAGCATATCCCACCAGGCTATCTTATCTCTCACAAGGGCATGTCTACCAATTCTGTCAGCTCTGACCTGAGTTTAGGGTCTTCTGCCTTTTGCTTGGTTCTCTTTTTGCAATGACTGGCACCAAGCTCCAGGGCAAAATCCTGTACTTGCTTTCGTGTTCTGATCTCTAGGTGGAGCCTTGTTTCCCCCTCTGCTGATCCAGGCAGCTGTGAGGTGATGGTGACCATTTCATAGTGCAGGGCTTAGAACTATGTATCAACCATAAGGCCTCGATCAACTCTGTCTCCATCTTCAAGCAGGAGGTGTATCTCTTTCAGCTCTTGCATTGCACGGATTTGACAGAGACAAGCTGTGAGCAGTGATTTTCCTCTTGCCTTTTTAGAGAATCTTACTATTATACTAAAACTACGCAGTGTCTCTTCTCACCGGATTTCCTTAGCTGCTGTGAAGACAGTATAAATAAATGGGTGTTCACATTCTTGTGTCTGCAGAAGGAAGATCACTGGAGGATCTAACTTAATTGCTGTCATGCTGTACATCTACTCCAAATCTTTCATTTTAATTGTACCATAAAATACTGCTAACTGGTGTCCTTGGAATATAGTAAGGTCCTTAAGTATGTGTATACAATATTTTCATAATCACAAATTGTTTTTGTTCTTTAACTTTGAAAAGTACGTTTAAAAAATCCACTCCAGTATATTTATGACCATTCATTTGCTGTATACTGGACTTCTTTCCTCT